GTGTTGGAGCAATGGCTTTTGACCCCTGCGCGCGGGACTCACCAGGTAGGGGTCAGCGCCATCAAAGGTACGAGATTCGGAAGCGGCTAGTCGAATCTCCAGAGGCAGTCGAGCCTGCCAGACTGTGCGCTGGAGGGACTGTAGAGGCTCGTCCTGGGCCATGATTCGGGATGGGGTTGTTCTGAAGTGTGGTCGGTGCAGTCAGTCTAAGAGTGGCTGGTGCAGGTTGTGGGTGGTTTCGGATGATGTCGCTAGCCTGGATGCCCACATTACGGGAAGGATTTGGCGAACGGAGACACGTCCTCTAAGAGATTCTTTCTCTTCGTCGAAGTCGGACAGGGATTGCTCTTTGAAACAGACCACCAAGACCGATAAATGAGACGGGAAGCCCGGAGCAGAGTTGTTGTGAATTGCCTATTGCCTATTGCCTTCAGCCTACCCACTTCCCGAGCCACGCAAGGCGATCCGCTTCTGCCTCATCTGGACCTTTTGTTCCACTGACGATGTTCGAATAAGCGAGCGAGGGACAACGCAGCACTGGGCGTCTTACCCCTTTGACCACGAATACGCCTTGAATACGGAGTGCCGATGGAAGAGAGAAAAACAAATCAAAAGGAAATAAAGGGGCCATGCGGTGTTGCGGTCTGTGCTTGGGCGGGTTTCACATTGTGGTAGGGCTGACCGGAGAATCGCAGACATTCAGACATGCTCGCTGCGCGACCACAACAACGGTAGAGTGAATAATGAGACTACCCTGTTGTAGCTCAAGAAAAGATACTTCGCGCTTATAGCTAGGAACGACCGTGCTCCTACCACCATCTCCTGTGGCGTCGAGGAGGTTGCCGTCGCTGACTTTGCAAGGTAGGCTTCTGAAGATGGTGGTCCATAGGGTTTCAAACCCACTTTACTTCCGTACGAGCTCCTATTCTTTTGTTCTGTGCTTCCATCCATCCATCCGCGCGGCTGCTGCCGTAGTTACAACGGAAGAAGCCTCTGGAGTAGGTCGGATCTGAAAAGACTGGAACAACCCGCGGTCTATCAATTGAAATGAACGAGGTTATCCCTTGTAAAGTTTCTGTAACACGACAGCGCGGAACAGGAATACAGTGGAGTATTCTGTCCTTCCTCGCACGACGACATTCTTCATCTCGGCTTTCGGGACAACCTACAGCACTCGTATGCACACGACGGGCCAAAAAATGTCAAGAAACAGAGGACCCGGAACACCCCGACGAGTCTCATAGTCCGTTACGGTCATAATTTTATTCTCATAAACTTCGTGGTACGAGGGCGACTAGGAGGATTATTGCGAAGAAAGGAAGGTACAAAACGTAGAGTGCCAACGGTCACGGCAACAATCGGGGACCAGTTTGCAGTCAGTTTAGTTTAGGGCTGACGACAGTCCTGCGTCTTTGCTCAGAAATTGGTGTGAATCCGTCACCTTGTCCGGCTGCTACCTGTTCTGCCAGCAGAGTCGGAGTCTTCTGTTCGGGAGGTCCAAAATCGGTGCCAGATTGAAGCAGTGATGAGCACTCAGGTCGCATTCAGCGCTTTGTGGAAGAAGCATGCAGGTGGTGACAACGCCACCGATCACGCAAAATCGAACGTGTCATATTTTCGAACAGGGGTATGGCTCTCACAGCGTGCTGAGAAGGCTGCATTTGACCAACTCGGGATGCAAGCCCAAGAGTGCTAGCCGTCTGTGCCCAATAAAGGGCTCTTCCAATTTGCGGGGGGTCCTTTGGTGGCATCAGTTGCCAGGCTCATTAATAGGTCGGGTGGCATTTTGGCCCTTGTATCCGTTGTTTCTTTTTCTCGTAGGCTTGTTGCAGCGCAGCGCAGCACACTGCGTCAGAACCTTTCCGCCTTCCGCGCCGTCAATAAAGGAGAAGGAAAGAATGCTGATCATTCGCCGGTCATGGATGGATTCGAAGGGGCGTTCCCCCGCCTGTGAGCAAAGGACTTGTCGCGCCCGCTTGGGAGCAGTGAGGCAGTGCTAAAGGAAAGGAGGCGGCTTGTTGTTTTCGTTCTAGGGCAAGTTTTTCTTTTTCTTTTCTTTCTTGGTTCGTTAAACCCTCACCAGCCTTTTCTTCTCCATGGGATGAATATCGTCGTAACATCGTCTTTCAAGGCTCGAAATGGTGGGGGGCGTGATGAATTACCACAGATGGAGACGGGAAGACTAAGGTTGGTGGAATGTGGAGGTAAGCTTAGGAGCCGTGGGAGCCAGGCAGCATCAGGTCATTCGTCAGGCATGAAGGTGGAGGCATGGACGTAGCTCTTCCCGGGAGCTGTGGTTCCAGAGCGCCTGTGGCTGTCAACCTTGGCTTGCTCGAGGTTCCCCGTACCAATGATGGTGAGGCTTTAGGCGGGCCTTGACTAAAACAGGGCTCGTGCCCTGTTCGCGCCGTGGTGGGCCAAACGACGAACCACTGAAAGTCTGCCGGCGGCAGACCCTGCAAGCACCCACGGCACCCATCAATTGTAGGTATGTACCTACATACAAGTAGGTACTCAAGTAAATCCCTTGGAGCCCTTAGAGGCGAGTGGAGTTCGTTAAGCTCCCAAGCTCGGAGACTCCTTCCACAGCACTGCACCTACTTGTACTTACTCGTACTTACTCGTACTATGGACCTACGGTGCCTAATAATGTCTACGCAGGAGGATTAAAATTTCTGACCCCCTCACGGTCTCTTTCGTGGTATTCCTTGTCTGTCATCTGATTATTCCTCCCCGTCACCCGTACAGCGCGCATTTTGTCCATCCCGTCTCGTTTCGCATCGTTCTCTGGTGTGGAAATGTCCACCCAACTGGCTTGTTCAGGCCATTTTCTCCGTCAAACTAGTTTATCCTTTTCCCTGGCTCATGGGACAAGCCGTCACTTCCGAATCCATCGCCGATCCCCCCCGAAGGATCAAACTCCTTGGCCTAGCCACGCGAGACTGTGGTGAGCTGTGTGAAACCACTGGTGACGTCGAGAAGCTGTGTTGTCGCTAAATGATCCGTCTATTCTCCGCTCAGATCAGATCGCAAAGTTGGGTGCCATTGGCAGGAAGTAATGTCACGGCGTACACGAGTCTCGACTCACCCATCCAGAGGGTCTGCGTTCAGCTAATATGCATGGAGCGTCCTCCCTTCCACTCTGGATTTGAAGACGCAGTCTATAGCTCCGAACCCTGCATGAGGCTAAACCCAAATCCAAACATGGACGAGCCACCCTTCCAGCAAAAGCCCTTGAAAGGTTGGATTGGCAAAGAGTTGAACAAGTGGCCTAGTAAAAGGAGCCGCCGAACGGCTCTGGGAGTATACTCGTCCCTCCTTGAGCTGGAGCATGAAGGACTAGCGACGGTCAAAGCTTGAATTACAACTTGGGGCTGCCATGCAACCTTGCGAGCCTGGTTCACCCTGGTAGACGGCGGAGACATTTTCTCGCATGATAGGAGGCCCCCCTTGGTGCTTCTGGGAGCTGTCTGGGTGGCCCGGGCCAGGAGCTAGCAGGGCTAGCAGGGCTAAAGCGAACCATCGCAACTTCAAGGCCGCCGGGCCTTGAAGCCAAACTGCATCCTCTTTAGCAACAGTGCCCATCTCCGAATTTCAATAATGATGATCCAAAGGGATGGATGCGTCTTGAACAAAGATACTTTCTGCCAGTGCGCAGACCATGCGTCAACCATGGGCTGTCACCCTCCTCGTTTCTGGGGGCCTGGCTGGGCTTGACCATCGTGCCACCCAATGGTCACGGGTCTCCATCATGGTTGACGGCTTGACGGCTCATGAAAGAATGGATCCAGAGAATCCCCCCAGGCTTCTCTACACCAGACATGCGTCCAGCTATCGACCTATCGAAGCCTATTGCACCCATCAACCCCTGGTCCTGGCGCGCCGTCCCCCACCACCTCCCTGGAGAGAGAAAAACAACAGGTATGCCCATGAAACTGAAACCCATCGCAACCTGATCACATATCCTCTCTGTCGAAATCTCCATTCCTCTACCAGTATTACTCGGTACCGAGTACAGGCTCGGCGTTTAAACTTCGTTCCCCTGTATCCAAAAGTCAAGGCTTTCCATCCCGCTTGTGTCAAAGCCACTTCAACCCTGTCCATTTCCTCTGAACCCTGCCCTTCCAACCCGAGTCTCGGGCTCTCTGCATCCTTTCGCGCGCTCTCGCCCTCTTCATATCTCTCTCACCCACTACTACCACCTGAGAGTACGCGCCGATCAAGACGGACACTCTTACAAAGACTCGTCGCTTCATTCAGTTTGCACATTGTTTCGTGTCCGGCCGATTCTCTTTACCAGTAATTCTCCGAAACCCATTATATGTGTCCCACAGCTCCACCACTTGGATCTCAACCTCCCAACGATACCCATCCCTCAGCTCCTTTATAACACATGCAAATCCCGCCCCGCTGACGGAGGACAACTTCGGATATTTCTTACTACTGTCTTAAAGCAGAGTCTCTGGACGCCTCTCATCCTCAAAGACGCAACATTATCCAAGCCGAAGTTTGGTTGTTCTCGTCAGCTTCGGGCGGTTCCACAAAACTCGACATCGGATTGTCTTCCACCCGACCCATCCGTCACCTGTCATTTCGCGCTCCACAATCGTCAACGTCTTTGCTCCAGGTCGCAGGTGAACCCACGGGCACCTGCGTCCGAGGGTTGAGTTTGTTGCGAAAGAAACAAAAAGAGCTCGTGTCAGCTCATCCCGGGACCCTTCGCGACAGATTGCCAAATCAACTAAAACATTGGGTCCCCTCCCTTAAGTGTTGATAGGGCTGACAGGCATATCACCGTCCGATGCACAGTGCCCCCCCTGACCTCTAACCGCCTTAGCTTTGACCTGCCTTAAAATCTGTCATTGCTTTTGAACCCTATCATACGTCAGCCTGATGCCAGTACTCGGTACTTTATATCAGTCAACTTCTCGCTCGCTGCTCCGAGTGTCATTGAAACCCGACCACGAAACTATATGAGTTGAGCTCGATTCACCGAAAACATGATCCCATGGGCCGCCTTTCGCAAGAGGTAAATGTCCGTGTCTTCTATTCAGCCTCTCTCATACTAATTTCCACATGTTAGCAGCGCACAAGAACCTGACTGGCGAGTGGAATTGAACGCGGAGAATGTCTATTATTATGTGGAACACGGACCAAGTCAGCACAAACGTGCCTTGGACTCTCCGATGCTGGGGCTGGCACATGAGCGGCAATTTGCCATTTCTCAACTCGGGACCAGAAGTGTCGGCTTCGAGAAGCAACACATTGCCTTGATGCAAGAGGCACTTCGGCAGCTCAGCAACCATTTCACCATGCACTCGACACACGAAGCATGTCGCCCGACCTCGCCGCACTCGGACTATCTGACTGATTGCCGGCACTTGATGGACAACTATAATCCATTACCGCCGCTTGACTCTTTGGACGAGCCCTGTTCCGAGCCATCGACACCTTCGCCAGTGACGGTATCACAGAGATCATCTCGATCACCTCTGGCGTTGCAAGAGCTTATGAACCCTCTGCCACTGACACCCTCGAGCTTGAAAAGAAAGTCGCCCGATGATCTGCCGTCATCTATCCTTGCCGATGATGTCCTCGAAGCAATACCCGATCTCGACGATGATGCCCTTTCTCAACGTCACTCCCTCAAATACTCTCGAGCAGGCGAGATACGAGGTACTAGTGGAGCATCTCGGACGCGGCGGAACGTGAGAATGCGACTGCGATCCTGTCAGAGGCAGGGCTCACTGCACGATCCCCTCGAAACGGAGCAATTTGAGAAGGAGGGCCAGCTACTACTCCACCTGGCACGAAGCCCAAGGACGGTGGGAAACGGAACTTGAAGAAATGAACGCCTACGAACGATCACCATTGGAAAGCAACTGAATGATGCCGTTGATGAAATTTGTCCGTGTGCCGGTTAAACACTCACGACCACAATCCTGTCGCGAAATCTCTGCATTCATTCTTCTTGGTATTACGGCGTACTATACTTTTGCGACTCATCATCGTTACCGTCAGAAGTTTTATATTTGGCCTCTATTGATGCACACAATTACACGACCCTCAACCCTCTTTCGGCGGGGACCAACAGCACCGCGGATCGCCAATTCTTCAGACCCAAAAAGGGTTGTCATCATCACAGTGGAGTTTGTCCTTTTATGAGGTTGTTCAGCCGCTGCATTCAGGATTGTATACCGGCGTTGGATACCAGTAAATAGCTCGGGATGTGTCTGATGCATCTATCCAAAGGTGTGTTTGTCCAGCATGGAGTTAGATGACAACGGACCTTTCTTGTTGTTGTTTTTTTTCTTGCTTAGCGATGGCGCTGGAAGGAAAGGATTTTGCCCCCATTCAAAACTACTATCTTTTGTTACTGGTCTTTGCTTTGTTTGGAAGGTAATGGACATACGTGCTCGGTTTGGTTTTGGATGAGCTACTGTTGTCTATGGACGGGGCCCGGACTAAAGTGCAGGCACCGGCGAGTCCTTGATCCTTGGGTCCCTTAGGCATGCGGTCGAAGGAAGGGGGGAGTAGCCCAGGCTGGCTGACAGCGTGGATGGATCGATGGGGGATGAGATGGAATGGGCTTTGGTCGATCAAGTCGAAGCTCGAGGCTCGAAAGGGGGGGGGGGCTCCCCACCAAGGCCAGATTTGGGAATTGTGCACATACCATACAACCAAAATACACCCTCCCCGCTATTTGTCTATATCCCATGTCGGAAATGAGGAACCTGGAGTATCACCACCCATCACTCAAAACGAAAGAGGATGGACCATTATTGGCCATTGCTTCTTTTTTGTCTTTCTCGATCTCTCATTTTTGCTTCCTTTTTTTGATATGATGGTTTCGCCAATTGTCGACATCACCCACCACCCCTTTCCCATCGTCACCGCTGGTGCGGTAGCAGTAGCAGTAGCAGGACGCTTGAAGCCCCGGGGCGCAGGGCAGGTTTGCAAAAGGCCGATCCGATTACTCATGGTCGAACCCACGGGTTGCTAAGCTAAAGCGGCCAAGTTCCGATCCGCAGGACATCTCAGATGATCGGGGGGCTGCATCGCGGAGTGGGGGGTGGTGGATAAGTAAGTAGTGGGAGTGGTAGCGATACTCGTAGAGTCCCAGTAGGTAGGTAGGTAAATAGGGAGGTACATAGGTATGGAATAGGTATGGAGTACTCCAAGGAAGGTATGTGTGTGGCTTGGGTTTCCCGATCGCGTTTCCCGTTTGCCGATGGCCGACGGCCAATTCCCTTATAAGGCATGAACCCTATAGGGAAGAGGGGGGAGGATATTAGTACAAACGGTTAGTTATTTACGAGTGCAAGTAGTAAAGTACTATTAGGGATTTGATGAGTTAGTGCGACAAAAGAGGGGGGAGAGAAATGAACACACATACAAAGTGACCTTCTATTTACGAACAAGTGTGAGAGGCTCAAAGAGCGTCATAGCGTCGTCTCGCCTCGCTGTCGTGGATGGATGGGCATCTCTTGAGGTTGGTCATGCTCCGTGCCGAGTTTACTCGAGACAGTAATTGGGTACGAGTAGGGGCTTGTAGTGAACCGTGACAAATCCAATACCATCACCCATCTTGCAACGAATTACAGGACGAGAAGAATGAAAACAGGGACGGGATGTGATTCCTGCCCGGTGGTTCGGTGTGTGGTGTGCGTGTACATTCAGTGCTGACATGCACCTATTCAGGTCCTCAGGTACCTACCGGCCGAGGACAAATACGAAGTCGTCGGTACATGCATACGGTTCGTCCACAGGGGAGATCGACTGGGCCCACGCCGACGGAAAGTGTGGGAGGTGGAAAACCAAAACACATGGAGCACACATACCTCGTACTGAGTATAGGCAAGGCTGGCCCTCTCCGTCGCGGTCTTGTGGTTGGTCCACTGACTGATTGACCGTTGATTGACTGACTGGCTTACTCTGACACTGACCAGTGACCACCGATCAGAGCCCGCCAGGCATCGGTTTTGTATCAGGTCAGGAACGATCCAATCGGATATCAAGCCGCCAATTGCCCAATGCGTCCTCGGCGTGTTGAGTCTGACAAGCTTATACCCAGTCGAGCACTGGTCGATGGGCGACTAGGATCGCAACGTTCCCCGTCGGCCAGTCACGGAGAGAATCGATTTTGCTTGGTTGGTTCATATGATTGTCGGTGGAAAAGAATCCCACAATCAACAAAACCATCCTATCAACCCACAAGGACATACTCGTAGTGTGAGTAATCGTAATGGGGATCGAGCTTGATGCGTTTCAGCCATGGTGTGGCGGCCACGACCACTGACCCAGCACACATCCTTAGTTTAGAGGATTTCTAAGGCACCCCCCTTATGTCGGCGCGCCCTAATATGACAATGATGACGACCATGACGCTTGATGATTTGATTGGTGTCCCCGTCAGAAGAAGGGTGTCTCAGCCTCTCAGGGCTATGAGCGAGAAGGAGATTGCGGACTCGTATGTCCGAGTCCTCGACTTCTCATCGGCCTCGGACTTGACATGAGCGAATGCACTTGTATAGTATTCGGGTTGGTACGGAGTATCCTCTTTTCGTCGCCAAGTGCCGTCTGACGATTTTGGTGGAGGTACTGTAAGACCTGGGCAACAATAATCAGGTGGCTTTTCCGGCAGTGGCGGCGAAACAATCAAGCAAGCAAGTCAATCGGCGGGTAAGCGGATGAAACCGTTCCTGGTGCGATGTGGAGGGAGCGACGAAGCGAAAACTAACAGCGCAACTCGAGGGCCAGCCATGGGCCACAGGGAGGTGTTGATTGCCCTATTTCGCTTGGCCGTTATCTCGCTCTTTTTGGTCGTCACGGGCTGTTATTATAATAGCGGCAACAGAATCCATTTCTGCCGGTATTTGGCAGCGACCATGACCAGGAACACTGATCAGTGTCAGTATGCTCCGAATTTCCTGAACTGGTGGTAGCTAACCGGGAGCACCAGGCGATTCTCCGTTCAATAAACGAGCGATCGCTTAGTATTCGAATTGGTAATAGCGAAAGCCGACCGAGACATGAATGCAATGTTGTTGATCTTCGTCAGAGGAAATAACCCGACGCTTGCGGTTCACCCTGCAGCTATTCATTGTCACCCTTCTTACTCCGCACCATACGCTGTTGGTCCGAACCAAGGTACTGTCAGTATTCCACGGGCCGTGACGGAGGGGCTTGTTGCATTGAGATAAGGAAGCGAGCTCTCTGACATATCCAAGTGGGATCGCTGGAACCCCAGGAAGTGATAGCCGTTCACCTTTCCAGTGAGTTGCGCCATCTGACATAGACATCACTCCGTTTTCGAGGTAGTACGCACGTACCTCCAGGTGAGCTTTAGCACTCAGGGGGCACCTAGAGAAGCTCTGTAATTCCGAGTGCTCCATAAGGTGGGGATCGTAGGCAGTCTAAGGTGCAGTGGGGGACCTGGCAGCATGTCCTGCAAGGGACGTGTGCAGCACCATAGTCATTTGATGGTGACGCCGGAGTTGGTGGCATGGTACCTTCGAACTTGTGGTGTAATGATGTTTTGCAAAAGGACCATCTGCACCCCAAAAACTGACAGGGCAAACTGTCATTGATTGTATGCACGATGCCCATTTAGGATCTTGGTCAGTCGTTGGTCGGTCCGCGTGCAGAGTCCATTGGTTGCCATCCCACCTGAAGACGGACACAAACACAGATCCGATAAGAGTCTGAACTGACTTCAGCTGCCGCAAGCTCCATGTGGGAGATTTTGCAACAGGTTTGGGACAAAGCATTTGCCTCGCGTCATCCTGCGCAACTGCATTGATGGCCGGGATGTCGAAGCCGTTGGCCGTAGTTGCAGGCCCGCTTCGAGCTGGTGGGAGGGGAAGTGCGGAAAATGCAAGTCCGTATCGGCAACGTGGTGATGCGGGCATCCTCCCAAGGAATTCCAGTATAAACGCGAGTAGATTCAACTGGCTAGCGCTCAAAAGGACCAAACAAGTTTAACGGCGACCGTTGAGAGGCCCCTGTCGAATGGTTGCTGCACGCATGTGAACCCACAGAGCATCGCGTACTCGTACATTGCGCGGTAGTCACGCGCAACTCATTGATAAGAATTGGAGAACGGCATGCTCAGGAGATTGGACAGAAATCCGAAGACTGATAAGGAGAGGGAAAGACTAGAAAGGTGCTTCTGGTCCCTCGGCTGTCCCCAGCATCTTGCGAGGAATCGCACTTGTTGCTTCCCATTTTCCTCCTCCTCCTCTTCGTCTGGCCTTCATACTCTCTCGCCACTCCCACAAGGGATAGTAATATCCGTGGTGTGGAAAGGAGTATACGACGTGTTCGGTAGTTCATGTAGTCACCCTGGTGATCCAGTCTCGCTCAGGGGTATTGGTGCTGGTGGCCTTGTCCCTGCCCCATGTTATGTTGTTCAACATCAACCTCTTCCCCCCGTGTCAGTTGTCACAGGAAGGGGAGCGCAGGGGGTGCTTGCTTTGGCTCGCACACCTTCCCCATTTTACCGCCTCTTCCTCCTTGAGTACACGGAACATGGAAATCTGGCTCCGTTCGTCCAGCATCACGTCCTCGTACGACTGACCGCAGTCGACTGCATCCAGTGGTCGCGACGAGGGGACTGGAGCCGATAAGGTGGACGGGGTCTGGAGGGAGTCAGTGGGAGTAGCTTGAAGATAGTGGGTTCAATGGTTATAGTGTTGGACGTGAGGATGAAGTCCATCTGATCGACCTTTGCGTTGCAGAATGCAAGAAAGTGGACAGCACATCGTGCATCAACCCCGCAATCCTCACCGAGGACTTGGGACAATCACGAGTAAATATTTGGGTCTTGGCCCTGTGAGGTCATCTGTGTAAGGCAATGATGACAGGGCACCAGAGGGAGAGGGGGC